GCCTAAACAGCACCTTTATCTTCATTCATCCTCTCCCCTACCCCAAAACACAGAAAGGGTGAGAGTCACACCCAGAGGAGAGGGGAGGAAAGGGGAGAAGAGGGAGAAATAACAGTGCTTTAGTTATCCCAACTCCGACTTCTGTCTCCTGGGAGCACTGTGCTCTGTTTGGGCCTAGCTCATCACACTAAAGTAAGGACAAAGTCCTCAGTGAGAGCCAGGTGATCATGGTGCTTACCTCCAAAGCATCCTTTCTTTCAGGGATCACAATTTTGTATAACCCATTGTCCAGAGTCTAAAAGCCATTATTTCATAGATTTGTCTAATTACTTATGGTAAGACATGTAGTGAGAGTCACCATTTAGTATAGTTTTATGCAGCAAGCCAGATCAATGCTAAATAAAAGTGTACAAATTTGATTTTCATCTATAGGTCTTTTAATGCACAGGACCAGCAGAGGCTCCTGATTCCTCACAGAAATGTTCCTATAGTTTTTATTCATTCACTCACTTTATTCACTCATATACAAGTTTGTCCATTCCTTCAGTAAATATTAAGAGTCTACAATGTTCCAGACACTTTTCTGGGGGCTAGGGACACAGTTGTGGGAGACCAAAAACATTCCTGCTTTTGTAGAGCTTATTTCCTGACAGAAATTGTTCCAGCTTTACTCCAAAGCAATACTTCCTCTGCAGTTATTTCTCTAAGTAGTGACTTTTTAGAGAAAGAGAGACTTATTATGAGCAGAACACAAGAATTCTAAGTTTTTTAAAACTTATATAGACATTGGTATATGTGCTTTACAGGTACTATGTGGACTAATACACATAATAAGGAAGGTGCTCTTAGAGATGAGGAAATAAAGGCAGAGATGCACCAGCTCTGTTACAAAGCTCATGAACAGTGGATGGGACTCTAACCTAAACACTCTGATTTTGCTTCTACATTCATAGTCACTGCACTGTTATATTTCTCCAAGAAAGAAAGGAGAGGAAAACATCAGAAGTGTGGGGGAAACTAGTAGTTTCTGAGCAAAAAAAATAATAGCTTTATTGTTATAAAAAAGTCAGTTTGGTATCTGAGAGGTTGTAAGTAGATGGATCACTTTAAAAGAGGTATAAGAGGAGATGGTGAGTGGGTTGGCATACTCGGGCATAATTTTTTTTCTTTTTCCCAGATGACCATGAGAAAAAAGACAGTTCTCTTAAATTTGAATCAGAAGAAGGATAGAAAGCCATTCGGAATAAAAGTCTTTAAGGTTCCTTAGAGAAGCTAAAAAGAGAACTAGCAGTGATATTATACTATCAACTTTCAACTCATGTATTGAGAACACTAGTCTCATAGATGCATCAAGAAAAAATAAGCCAGACTTAAAAGTAGATTTGGAAACTCGAACTTACATTATTTTAATAAAAACATTTTGTGTAAGTGAGAAGGTTGGCCGTGTATGTTATCATATCTTTAAGCTATTATAGTTATCTTTTTCTAGGGAGTCCTAAGTTATTAATAAGCTACCTTGACATCTCAAGACAGCTATCTAGAACTCCTTAGACAATGCCTTGTAGGCAGTACCCTTTGATAGTCCAGGGCTCTCTGAAATCTTCTTATGGAGACGCACCTGACTTTAGCAGGTAGCCCACCTAGCCTCTACCTGCCTTATTGGTGAGTCATGGGGGAGGATGGTTTCCTGTATGCTGGCTACCTCTCTTATGGTGTTTGTAGCTCCTGTTGTTTTCTATAGTTTCATCTTTTTAGATTTCTAACCTCTGATTGTCTGAGGCATGGTCTCTATTCTGTATTATTTTTATGTCTTTGTCCCCTCTTCCCACCTGTCCCATCTTATTTTTCCAATGTCAGTCTTCCAAATTCTCCTCTTACTTTTCTTACTGTGTACTTAACTCTGGTGTCTGAACAAATCTGGCTGTACAGTGGTTATTCTGGAACCTAACTATGTATGTTTGAGCCCAATATCTCCTGAGTACTATTATTTATCTTCCCACCCCCATTTTTCCCTCTGGTATCAGGGATTGAACTCAAGATATTATGCTTGCCAGGTAGGCATGGTGCCAGTGAGCTACATCCCTGGCTCCCTGTCCCCATTTTTCTCACATGTATACAGTGAGATTTTCCAGAAGCTATATGACTCAAAGGGCTATAGCAGATTGAATGCAAAATCCAAAATCCAGCTGATTTTTAAAGCCATTCATTGAACAGACTTGCTTTTAAGGGAATTAATGATTTTTTTCTCTTTCTATTTATAAGTATCTACTATGCTCAACACATTAATAGGGCTGAGGATTTAGCTCAGTGGTTCCGCCACCTGCCTTACAAGCACAAGGACCCAAGTTTGATCCCTGGTAACAACAGCACAAAAAAGTAATAAATAAATAAATAAACACATTATTAAAGAGCATAACCTTGCTGGGTATGGTGGCACACACCTGTAATCCCAGCCCTCAGGAGGCTGAGGCAGGAGGATCAGTGTGAGTTTGAGGCCAACCTGGACTACATAATGACATTCTAGCTCAAAGAAAAGGTATAAAACAATTTAAGACATGCTAAATAAATGCAATGATTTCTACTGAACGACTACTACTTTTCCTTTTTAAAAATAGTCCAAAATGCAAGCTTTATTTTAAGGACTATAACTCTCTGTTGATTGATTAGTCACTGTAATTGACAAAGAAAGTTTTCTCTTGATTTTGAGATGCTCAAATGTCCATCAGGGTGGTATTAACAGGTATCTGAACAGAGAAATATTAATTTTTTCTCAGTATTCTCTGCTCTGCAGAATTAGAGTATATTTCCCTCTGAGGCCTAAGAAAAGAAAAATCTCATTTATTTTTTAAAAAGTATTCTTCTCTGCTATATTCAAGATACTGATGTCAAGTTGATATTTTTGCATATTATGTAACCCTTAACACTTTTCTTGAATTCATACGGCCTTATGTGAATTTTGATAATGTAATGTTTCTCTTCTTCTATCCAAGATCCCTAAAGACTCCTTCTAGTATATCTTTCCAATGTGATCAGACTCGCAGTTGTCAGTTGCTTGGTCTTCTCTTTGTTTATTAGGTTTTTATTTACTATCTTCAAATATCCAGAATGTCTACTGTTTGTTAATTACTACACTATGAATGTGGCAGTATCCTCACAGAGAGATCCTGGGTCAGCATTTAGTAACCTTTTCCACATAATCCTTTCTTTCACTGCAGGATCATTAGTAGTATACTTACAGATCTTCTACATATGTTGTCTACTGTACTGGCTAGGACTTGACTTGTCAAATTATTTCCCTAGACCTGTACACACAGTAAAGTATCCAGATCAAGGTCCATCTTCTCCATATCTCACATCCAGTTTATAACAAACACAAGAGATACAGGAACCCACCAAATGGAACTTTGTAGAAACAACCAAGAGAAGATCTAGACTGGGTGGGAGCATTCTGTGGGATCACTGGTCCATCTCTTTAACAAATCATTTCATTAAAGGGACTGGGCTGTGTTAAAAAGAAAAGAGTTAAGGGACAAAACATCTAGGTCTAATGTGATGCTATGGACTAGACATTGCCTAAGCAAACCAAATACAGAGACATGTTTAAAGACTTAATATCAATATGAATCTGTATATACATAGGTAACATTTTACTCAAATCATAGTTGCTTCTATTTATTAAAAGTCTAATTAAATACAATTAATCTGTATGCCTAGGCAGTCTACTCTTTAATATTAGAAGGCTAGTATTAATATTAACTCACATAAGTAATATATAAGTAGAGTTTTCAAAACACTTAATTACTGAAAATACAGGTGCTGTGAAAAACCCAGTTAGCATATACATCTTTGCATCTGTTGTGATTTTGAAGGTGTTCTACTTAGCATATGTCAAAAGTTACAGGTAATGAAAAACTATAGATATCCTATCTCAATTCTTAGGAAGACTGATAAGGATAAAGGATAAAATGCAAAAGATATATATATAGATAGATAGATAGATAGATAGATAGATAGATAAAATAGATGTTTATATTAATGTACCCTTTTGAATATATGCTTCATAGAACTTGAGATGGATTGAACTTGAACTTGAAACAGGTGACTAATTCACAGCTCTAGTTGGGCAATAATTATTAAATTTCCTAAAACAGTACTAAAATTAAACAGTACAGATAATTCATACCCAGGTTTCCATTTCAGACCATGAACATCTGACTCTGGTACCAAGAGACTGGAAACACTCTTCACCTTATATAAAAGCGACAGTCAATAGAAATTATGATCTGAATTATGAGCAGAGAGTTTCTCATTTTCATTAAAAACTAGTTTAGGTTTTACTTTGTCTTTTTTTTTTTTTTTTTGCTTGGGAGTATGTTTTCTTAACCTATAAGTGATTCAAGGTCTCTCCAAAGAATTACTGTCCCCTTAATTATTTGAGTTGACTGAAACACTAACTCTTCTTTTAGACCTGATATATCAAGTTCAAAATGGTTCTCCAAAGTTGGGCTCATGTGTTCACTTTAAATAAAAGCTGTTTTACATGTTATTCTACACAGATGGGTTCAGTTGCTGAGAATGTTTTTACTAAAAGATGAGCTGCCACTAAATAACCTTCTGAAATTAAATTATTTCAATTTGTTATTTTCTGATACATTCTGATATTCCAACCATGTTTTGAATTCATAAAGTACCTCTTCACTCTGGGATTTAAAAGGTTCACTGAAATATAAAACCATTAATCTCCTATACTGCCTTATGAAGTCAAGAGTATATTCTAATGGTGCATACAAAATACTTCCAGAACAAGCTTATAAATCAATCATGTTTTCGGCTATATGCACAGAATACTACAATTCTCCATTTTCTCAACAGAGAAACTAGAACATTCCATGCAGAGTTTGCTATTAAATAATCTCAAGGAAGCATTTTTCTACCTTTTAAAAAAGAAACATAAGTAAATATATAAATAAGTGGCAGATGAAATTCTGAAAATGGCTTACCTATTAATGTAACTGAGAGCAACATACGTTGGCTGCTGTAATTCCTGTTTTTCTAAAACACGTGGATCTGTATCTGCAATAAAAACATAATTTTATTTTTTAAGTTTTGCATCAGAATCTATGAGGTCATAAAGTAACAGAGGATAAACAGAGAAAAAGATTAATTTAGAATACCTCTTTTTAAAGAAAACTCAGTAAGCACATTTGTTCATTCATTCATAAATAACAAGATATTGCATTACTTTTCAAGGGAATTCCAAACATCAACAGTGATAAAATGCCCATCTGTCACACAAACTCTTGCACAATCCCCCTCATAAATATTGGTTTTCACTGCTTACAGTTACAATGTTGGCATGGTTTTCAGTGGTTAATCGGCCTAAGAAAGAGAGTCTCTGTTAATTATGCTCACTTCAATGCTGGAACAAATTAGTTTCCATTGGAAAGCTCCATCAATTTGAAAATCTACTGAGTATTGTTCTTGTTCACTGAACACTTTTCTGAGTTTGGATTCATATTCTGGAGGGCACCTCTTCTCCTTTTTAAATGTATAATGAGTTTATTATAACTTTTCTAGACTCTGAATCAGAAATTCTCGTACTGGTTCAGAGTCAACAAACAGCACATTCAACAGAGAGGTTTTCCTTTCAAAGAGGCAGAATTCAGCACCATAGCAACACTTCATAATGGCGTTTCTCTAGCACAGCGACAGGAATGTACGTCTCACAACCAGAAACAATCTCATGCTTATCAGATGAAGAAACTGCATAAATATATGCAAAAATAATGTTTACATAATATCAGCATAAAAAGAGGAGGAAAGTGACTATACATTGCTGTTTTCTCAAAAAAAGGTTCAGACATTTCCCACAGATCCATTTTCACTGTAATCTTGTCTAAACCATCGCATTATTAGATGCCTTCCAGCTGCACTGGGCAGTAACACCTCCTTTGATATCATGACAGATGTTGTTTCAAGCACCTTCGCACAGGAAGTGTTTACTGTACATGGTCGATGTGAGATCCATGCACTGACTCTAATGGGCATTAACGGGTGACAGGGAAAGGGAGCAGGCATAGCGGCAGAGAATACGGTGGCAAAAAATGACAGCAGAGAAATCCATTTACAATGCTTCTGAATCCCAGACTAAAACTGCACAGCAGGGCTAGTGTTATTCTTGGTGTTAAAATTAAGAATCGCATATTCACTTTATCATTTTTCCAATGCCAAGAATTTCAGGGACACGCTATTCAGAAATCCCACTTTCTTGGTTCTTTGCCATTATAAGTCCTTGAGAGCCAAATTCTGAAACAAGAGACAAAGATTCCCTGAATGGCTCCATCGAGTCGGGTCTCCAAGTTTTGGCAGCACAAATGAGAACAGATCAGTAACTCAGCATATCCTCTCAATCTTACCACAGTTACTTATGCAATCGAGGCTGCTTCTTGATCACTGGTGTGGAGATAAAGTGAGCTATTCTGCAAATGGAGGAAACCACTCTTCAAGGGAAACAGTTTTCAAACATGACCCTAATACTCATCTGAGTTTGCTATAATCCCAATGGGCACCTAGCTTTCTCAGAGGCATGCTCTTGCTGGAAAGGACTGAGTGGAAGCATGCTCAACAGAGAAAGTCCTTTTGTGGAGAGAAATAGTCCACTGGCATGCTGAGCAGGCTACGGTACACACAGTGACTGACGTACGAAGCCTGCAGGGTCTTTCCAGGTGCGTAATGAGGTAAGACACAAGAGACCGGAAACAAAACCCAGGAAAATGAGAAGAAGATAAGAAAGAACAAGGCAACGATTACAATGGTCTTGGTGGACAATTTCTCATAAGATGGTCCACTCCAAGTGTAAGTATTAATGATTGAGGAGCTCTGCTTTTCAAGAGCTTGAACTCAATTTACTTAAAAACTATTTCTTCAAAGGGTACACTATGCATGACTTCAGAAGGCATATTTTTTGAAGGAAAAGAGCATTGTTCTGAGCTCAAAATTTTTGTATTAAGGGATTAAAAAATAAAAAGTCAATAAATATGTAAATGTTTATAACTTGTCTTTGTTCTTGTAACTGAGTTCCAATATGTTTTCCCACAAACCATCTTCTAAAGCTTTCTTTTATCCTCAAATTATGTAATTTTCTTTCTTTTTCTTCTTCTCCTCCCCTCCTCCTCCACTCCTTTCCTCTTCTCCTTCCCTTCCTTGTCTCCTTTTTTGTGTTGAGGATAGACTACAGGGCCTCACACACAGTAGGTGCAAACTAAGTAAGCACTGTACCACTGAGCTATATCCCCAACTCCTCAAATTATATACTTTCTAAAATATTTAATATTTACTACCTTTCTAAATTACACTGATTATTTTTATCTTTTTCTTTTATTTATTTTTTTATTTTTTGTACCAGGGATCGAACTCGGGTCCTTGCACTTGCAAGGCAGACAGCGGAACCACTGAGCCAAATCCCCAGCCTTATCTTTCTCTTTTATTGGTGTGTATATGTACACCTGTGTGTGTGTGTGTGTGTGCGAGTGTGTGTAATATATATATATGCGCAGAGTCCACCAAAAATGTATACACAGTTCAAGAAAAAAATCTCTGAGCTGGGAATGTAGTTCAGCAATGCTACACCTGCCTGGCAAGAGCAAGGTCCTGAGTTTGAGTCCCAGTACCACCACCACCCCCAAAAAAGAAAAAAAAACTCTAAATTTACTGAGACATCATGAGATTAATACAAGTTACTTTTGGCCTCTACAATTAGAAGAGGTGCCTAAAGTGGTGATCATTAGCTTCCAGCCATTTATTTGTACAGTGAACTGCTGCTTGGGTAACCTTGGTCATTCAGATTGTTGCACATTCATTTTCAATTTCTTCTCTAAGGGCCGGCAGTGTAGTGGGTTTTCTGTGATAAATGACATCCTCTAGGGTCTCCCATGTGATGGTAACATCATTTGTTGAAAAAACACTATACTATTTTTCTTTTCCTGGAATGTGTATACTTTTTGGGTTCCCCCTTCTTCCCCCCATTTACTTTATTTTCTACTTTAAGTTTTTATAGTTTGGATCTTGAACATTCTCCACAGGCCCCTGTCTTAAAGGCTTGGTTCTTGGCCTGAGTGAGGTACTGGGAAGCAGTGAAACCTTTAGGAGGGCCCCCTGGAAGAAAGGTCGCTGGGGGTGTACCCTTGAAGGGGATAAAGGGACCTGGCCCTCCATTCTCTGCTTCCTGGCTATCGTGAGATAAGTGGCATTCTTGTCATAAGCTTCCTGCTATGATCTTCTGCTTCACCACAGACCCAAAGGCAATAGGTCCAAGTGACCACGGACTTAAACCTCTGAAACCAGGCCAAAGCAAACATTTCCTCACTATAGATTATCTTGATTATTGTGTCACAGTCATGGAAAACCGAGTAATACAGAAAGGCTCTAGTGTGTGTTTAAGAAAAAGCAAAGGAGTACTTTGTATAAAATTCTGCAGTTCTCTGACACTCAAATAAATGGTCTCAGGCCCTAACATTAAAAAAAACTACATCACAAAGAATAAACAATGTTCAGGATTATACTGCAAAGTAAGATTTTGAAATCTTATTTTCTTTCTTACTTTGCTTCACCATATTCCATAATATATGCAGATTTATGCTCACAAATCCTCGTTATAAGTGGGAGAGAGACTTCTAAAAGTTTTCAAATGTTACCTTCTCCATCACAGAAAGACTATCTGGAAGCTTCTTAGGCAGAATTCGCCTCTTTTTTTCCTCCTATAATGCAGATGTTGATAGCCAGTCAGAGAGAAGAACTTCCAGACAGACGTCTACCAGGCCCAAATTCTCTTTTTCAGGTTAAATGCTTCTGTGGACAACCTTTAGGACATTCACTTAAGCTTTGAGAGTTTAAAATGAAATGAGGCACCTGGTGGCCACAAGTCAGTAGAGGCTACCACAAGTGCTACCAGAGGAGCTGCATCAACTACTGGTCTCAAATAAACATCACTTCCATCACTCACTTCTCGGCTGGCTGCTGTGTGGCGATCATGACTCACCATGTGATGGATTTAATTACACTCCTGAGCTCTTCACATGCAGTAAAAGTATAACAGCTGCCTTTACTATTTCTCCCTCCCTGACAGAACTGTAGCTGCCTGATGCTAAACACTATCTACAGAGACAGATTTGAGAGACAGAGATTAGGAGTTTTATAGGACAGTTTCCCCAGGTACCACACAGTGACATTCCTCTTGTGAGGACTACGAAGAAGAGGGAGGAACATTATCAGATTGAACTAGAGAGAGTCTAACTATCCCCTGGATATTACTGAATTCAATGAAAAATATCTTTATACTATGTACCATGTCATTCAAGACATTTTCTGCATATGATAAGTTGCTACAAGGAATCTATTACAAAATAAAACGGTCAAAGCATTTAGCTCTCTAGATATTTCTTTAGTTTGTTCCAATAAAATGTGGAACTAGAACATTGGCTATAATTGTCTAGAGGTAGAATCCACTTTAATCAGTGGTCTGTGGATAGAAACACTTGAATTCTTCGTGGCCACATGATGCTCCTTAAGCTGGCGATTTGGCAATTTCTATAATGAGACTATCCACAGCTACACAGAGCACCACTCTCCCACTTTCATCTTACTCTGAAGTGACATTCAGATAAACTCAAACTTTTCCAGCATGGCAGGGAGGAGCGAAATACAGCAATCACAGAAATTCTGCTTCAAGCCACCCCTCTCTCCTCCTTGCGTGTGAACAGACTTCAAGTTGACTATTAAAATGTATCGGAAAGCACTCACGTGATAAAAACCTATCAGCTTACTTCAAAGTTTGTAAAAAGGGCACCCTCTACAGTGGATGACAATGTGTTTTCTGTCACTATAACCCTGGGGTAATATTCTGAACATACAGCTCTACGACAAGGACTTAGCTATTAACATTAGACGCATGTACAAGTAGAAACTTTCCATAGGTTATGGGATCTTAGGGACTCACAGTTTTATAAACTCAAATGAATCGTGAAAGGCTCTGCTGTCACTGCACTAGCTCCCACTGCTCCTCAGGCAGCA